TAAAAAATGTAAAACAATGAAAATTAAATAAATTTGTGAAATTTAAAGGTAGTTGATGAAACGTTTTGTAATTTGAAGCATCACAGTAATATTTTCAATGGAAAATGGTTAAAAACATTTAATGATTGAGAGCTAACAAGCTTAAAAACTTTTATTGGGCATTGAAAGGTCAAAAGTTAGTTGTTCTAATATACTTTAAACAAATTTAAATAGTTTCTCTATATAATAAATAACCACTATATATAGAAATTTTTATTCGTACTAAATGTTGGGTGTTTTAATTTAAATGCCCAAAAATTATTATTTTGTCTAATCTGGCCATATTGGAAAATGTTATAAAAAACCCTAATTTTGAGGTGTTCTCACACTGGAATAAGTTGAACATCCCTTTATTCCTGGCCATATGCTATAGTGGCCCGATTTCTGAATTTCTCCGGACGCTTCACCGTTACTTTAAACATTTATTCGCGTCAAGCTTCGAAGAAATAGCTTGTCAAATAAAAAAATTTTCCATACAAAAACTATAAATGCTTTAATGATCATGGTCAACTCTCTTATCGATCCGATCATTTGCGATAATAGATAAGCAAAGTTTACTAAATTATATCACATACATACAATCATACATTAGTACGATTCAATGTTTTCTTTTATAAAATTTACCAAGTATCTCTCTTGCATATCTTCTCAACAGCAAAGGAAGAAACCTCACAATGAGCACTTCGAAAACTTGAGCACTTGGGGTGTCCAACAATATGTTGACTTCTTACCACCAATTTTGTAATAAAGTTTTTAAGCAGCTGTTGAAAATGTTCTACACTAGCTGAAAAATCAGAAAATAATTTGTTACGTACAACAACAACCATTATATGGTAGCGGCGATGAGACAATCGTTTTGGCGGCAGTGCACATGTTGTGTTGCGTTAATATCGGTATTGTTGGCGTTGTTGTTTCTGCTGTCAACAGCGCATATACATAACGGTTTGTTGACGTTGTTCTACTTGTCGGCTGATCGTTTCTGTGTATCGCAACTTTGCAAAAAGCAATCGAAGTGTGGCGCACGAGATCTTTCAATGGCTCTGCCAATGAGCCTATTATTTGCCGCACTAGTAAAAACGAAAGAAATGCCCATTATTTATCAATGCCTGTCAAAGTTATATGACAACGGCAACTGCTAAAATTTTCATTCCAAGATCTTATATTAAATGAAATTGTATTAAATTTTCTTCCAGAATTAGTTTTACACTAGGATGTCGAAGCGAGTTGAAATCCGGATGTCTATATGTCCGTCCGACCTTTCGTATGTCTGTGCAAGTAGTAATGAGACTTGGTATACGTATTTCTTTGCGAAAAATGGAGAACAAGTTTGTAGATGGGCGTTATCCGACCACTGCCACTTCCACAAAACGTCATTTAACGTAAACCTATAAAATGCCATAAGTAAGGCGATAAATACGCCAGGGACATTAAATTGTAATTCGAAGAATACATGAGATTCATGTATGTATCTCGGGACCTGCTCTATCCATTTCAACTAAATTCTTTTGAAGTTCTTAAGTTACAGTGTGAAAATGAGCCTAATCGTGCTACTACTGTTTTTATAATGAATAACATCGGGTGAATACTAGGCCTTGCATTGTCCTTCGAACTCGAATTTAATCTTTCAGATTCCTAGCGTATGGTATAAGCGTACTTAGCTCTTCCGTACTTGTTACTTTCTTAAGTATTTGTTTGTTATACAAATTGAAATAGGGGTTTCCTGGTCATATTAAACATGAGAGTTAAGGTGTTAGGATATACAGAAAATTAGTTTTGTCTAAAGTTTCTGAGTGCCCATCGAGCCCACTTCTCTCCAGCAGTCAGCCGAACGGTAGGGTATTTGCAATTATTAAAAGTTAGTTTCGAAAATGCAAACAAAAAACAAACATGCAATATTTATTCATTTRCTGTAGCCGTTTGAAATGGCAATAATCGCCAATGGCGTCAAGACAAATCCACTCCTACATTACCACATTTTATGCATCGTTTGCAYTTAATTACTTTCCGTTATAATTTGTGGACCGTAATGAAATGTGGGCAAATACTCTCAACGGATTCCGAAGCAGCGGCAATCAATGGCGCATTTTCGCTTGTATCAGATACTAATAGATAGAAATGTTTCGTTCTACAGCTAGTTGCAAACACAGGGCAAGCGTAAACTAGGTGACCATTTTGTAGAGCCATGTGTCTGTTTAACCACATCAAATACTAAAATTTTCTAATAATTACTTAGTCATTATATCCGAATGCCTCATAATATATATTTACTCATACGCGCCCACATGTGGATAAATAATTTTTGCCAGTCTGAATATACATATATACATACCCGTATGTATTTCTATATTTGTAAAAATAAATGTTCGTGAATGCCGATGTGCCAGGTGAGTGTGTGCATGTTCTGGCCCATTTTGCTATTTTATAATCATTATGCTGCATTTGCTTAGTGTTTTGTTGCAGCTTCTTGACTTGTTGCTTTGTTGGTATCTGATTGTGGAGCACRAAATCCATTTGTAATATTCTTAGTTGTGGAAAATTGAAATCTGTTGATGCAACGCTTAGGTGCTATTTGGTTTTTAAATTAGAGTACACATACACATGTATATGTGTATTTGCTGTCCGTATTTAAAGTTAATGGAAAGCAATTAATTTCATTCAGTTTAACTTTAGTTCACATTAAAACAATGTATGTATCCCTGGAATAATAATATAAATAAACTATCTCAAAATGAAAAGTTGCTTTGTTAACTTAGTTAAAACCGGTAATTATTTAACTGATTTGAGTCTGTAAAAGGGAGCAAGTAGGCATTCCATATTTATTATATTCAACAACAAGAAAAACCGTTGACTTCGTTTATACGAGCAATAATACCCTTCACAAATGGAAACGTTTCCCATACAAAGGCTTAAGTTTGTTTGGACAGTTTTTATGGCAGCTATATGCTATAGTTGTCCAATCTAATCTATTAATTCAAGGTGTGCAAGAACTTTTATTTTGATCGCCCAGTTTGCATGGCAACTATATGCTGGTTCGATATGTTCCGATCCTGTTAAAATTATTATTATCAAACTTAATATACCCTCTTCAGGTTATAAATTTAATAAATATAGTTAAAAACCAAAAACCTCGCTTTTAAAGCACATCAAACTGCAATGAAAAGCAAGTTGCTCTTATTGCGCTGAGAAACGAGTGTCTTTGTCGATATTGGGATTCACTTGGTTCGAAGGCGAAAACATGTATCGAGTAAAATAAGTCAGAAAACCTATTTGGATGTACGGCATTCAACTGTGGCGAACGACCAGTGAAACCAACAATGGTATAATACAAAGGTTCCGGGTCACCGGGTGCACCATGGTACATGCGTAATGAAAACATTTATAAAGACTTTGATATTCCTATGGTAAAGAAGGAGATAGAGGATAGCAGAATGAGATATATTTCTAAATTTCGCGAACATCCAAACCCATTGGCTAATGCCTTGGCAAACTCCTGCATTCAAGATTTAAAATTTGAATACTTGTTGTTAGGCTTTACAAAAAAAAAAAAAAAAAAAAAAAAAAAAAAAAAAAAAAAAAAAAAAAAAGCACCTCACGCTTTGTTCAGTGTAATCAGAGCACCTTTTGTTTATTATTTTTGTTAGGTTATATTATTAAATATTTTTCACCATTTAGTTTGATTATTTTAAAAGCATACTTTTTGTTTTTTTTAACTGAAATTATTTTTCACGGTTTAGTTTATGTGTCAAAATAGTATATTTTGTAGCTGTTTAAGGCATACCATATACATCTATTTTTTAGTCACACATTTTATTGTTTCAATTTTAATTTTCAGTACCACTGAAATAATTACAAACATGCAGATGAACTGTCTGTAAAAAGTCTCAAAAACTTGAAAGAAATATTGTAATGTCTGTAAACCAAATTTATTTTATGAAGTTGCAAAATTATAATTCAAAGAAATAATGAATTAAATGTATTTCTTTCTATGAAATGCGTCTTAAAATGTGTTAAAAAACTATCATCCAGCATCGTCTAATATTAATAAAGTAAAATACCAAGTGATTTGAAAACTTGAAATTTACATTCTCAATTTACATTATATGAGGCGTTTGTTAGGTATGACCTCGCCGATATGAAAATGATCAAGATCTATGCTAGTGGGCAGCGAAAGAAATTCGAGAAAAAGAAATCCACATTTATTTATTAATAGTTTAGAATTAACAAGATGGGGTTTTCTTTGTTTTATCTTAACAATCTTAAAAATGAAAAGCCCTCATTAAATAAATTCTGAAATTAAGAAAATGTATAATATTCTTTTCACTACGGTGGACCAGTTCTTTTGGAAACTAAAATTCTTATTTTTGTATTTACACGTGTATGTACATAAGTATGTAGGAATTAAATTTCCCATATCCATGATAATTAGGAGCAGCATGTGTTTGAAAAAGTGAGAGTGGAGAGCGTGTACTGAGAGATAATATGCAGTGAGCGCGTGTATGTGCACTATCTACAATCAGTCTATCGAATATACTGCTGACACTTCTTTGCAGAGTGGTGGGTGGTGGTGATAGGCACACGAGAAGGAGAAAGGGCCATGAAAAGATTGTTTATTTGTTTTGACATAACGCTGCGTTGAAAGTTGAGGGTTCGAAGCATTGATGTTGAAGTACTACACAGTTTTGTTCTTGAAGTACTTAAAATCAAACTATAAAAATGATTTTCTTTACACCAGTGTTTGCATGATTTATTGAATCTGAGCAACGCAGACAAGCTGGTGTGAGCTCATACGCCAAATTTCAACAACATAATTTGTCTATATGAACTTTTTGATATAAACAAAATGCAAATAGTTTTGGTTATATCCTTATAATGCTATAAGGTATCTTTAATGGGGAGATGTTGATTCAAATATGTATATGCAGAGTTTGAATCAAATAATATAAAAGTGCTCGTAAACTTACTTTGTCCTAAATGTACTCTTTTCATCCACGGATAGATCTGAGGTGGGTTTTTCTTGCAGTTGCCACTATTTTGACTACTACCAGCCTCATTGCCGCTATCGCTTTCCGAGTCGCTGTCACCACCTCCAGGACTGTGCATTGGCACATTTACGTTGACGTTGACATTCACGCCAGCCCCACCGCCGCCACCGACACCGCCATGAGTGTTTGTTATGTTGGCCGCTGCTGCTGCCACTGCCAGATTCCCGCTTAAAACACTTTTATTTAGTGATCTTGCCACACTCTCCACCACCGATGTTGGTGATAGTTTCGGCGAAATCTCTCGCGTCGACAGATCTTGCGGACTGGCTAAAGACTGAGTGTTTGTGTTATTATTGCTGGTATTAGTGTTGTTATTGTTGCCGGTGGGCGTTGAGGGATCATTGGCGTATTTGCAATTAAGATTGGTTTGTTGTTGTGCTGGTTGTTGTTGGGGATGCTGTTGTTGTTGCGGATGTGATTGCTGCTGTTGGGCGGCATGTTGCGCCGTCACATGTACGTGTTGTTGCTGCTGTTGTAGAAGCAGCCGTTGAGGCTGTAATTGAGTGTAGTCCACCATGTCGGAATTTTGTTGGCCACCCCCACCTGTTCCACCTAAACTGTATGCTGCCTGATTGCCATAATGGGACTGCGGTGTATTCGGGTACAAATTTGGTGAATAAGCAGCAGCAGTTGGAAAGTAATCATTACCGCCAGGTGTACCAGCACTAGAATTGCTCTGCCCCCCGGAACCACTGCCACCGCCGCTTGCGCCAGGTCCGCTATTGCTGTTTGTGACATTTGCTCCGCCGGTGGGATTGCCCGTGTGATTTTGCTGAGGATTTATTTGTTGTGGATAGCAAGAAGCGAGAGAGTTCACGAACTGATATGAAGACATTGCAAAACAGTCGGGATCCATGTTGTCGGTATATTTAGAAGGTGAGATAATCACAAAATCTTCGGATCTGGCAATTCCTGTTTATAGCCTTTCAATCTCTGTAAATAAAAAAAGGAAATAATTTTAAGCCTTGCTCAGTTTCGTTTCAAAACTCTTATCCTTAATTTWCTTGTTCTTAGTCTAAATTGATTTCTACTATTAATATCGCTATAGTAGTTAGAGTATTGTTCAAACGAATAAATACAATCATTGTAATGGGTCAATACCTTCAAGTAATTAATTTAAGAATTTAAGATGGGTACAATTTTTGTGTACAAACGCACACGCCAGAACAGTTGAAAGCTTATTGAAAACTCTTAGCCGCAATATTCGTTGACTGGTATTAATAATAAGAAACAGACAAACGAAACAGCGTTAAAAAAAAACAGGAAAAAGGAAAGTAGACTCAAACAAGAAAGTACGTGTTTTCAAGTGAATTTGTTGTGAACAAGGAAGTATGTATATAAAAAAAATATTAACACTTTATTCTCCTGCGCACAACCTGTTTCGGTGGAAACGGGAATATAAAGCCGCCCCAACTCTAACTCATACTACTAAACGCTAGAATGAAGAAACATAATCCAACCATTAAAATACTTATTTTACACTTAAGTAACATCCAAATATCGAGAGGGCATCTAAAGGGGTTTAGTCGAAGGGGTAAGTCTTGCTCAATCATATGTTTTTGCCTTTTTTCTTTGTCTCATTTTTGTTATAAAGGTAATGCTCCGTTATTGAGAGAGAACCTATAATTTAGAGTCAGTGGGCAATTTATGCCACTGGCAACACCAGGCTTTTGTTGTTCAACGTTAAGGTTATATCGTTACTGAGCTGCATTAACATTCATACTTAGTATACCAGTATATCTACTTATAACAGCAACGTACGTTGCTTAATATGTTAATATGCGAATACAGTGAAATTCCCAAATACGGGCAGCCCGTATAACCGGACACCTTTTATAACCTGATACCTCTCATAACTGGACAATATTTATGAACCCGACGTTTTCTCCAATATTTTCATACAAAACCAATTCCTATAACCGGTAATGAGTATGTTCCTATGACCGGACACGGACACTATTTTATTCAAATCATTTCTGATAACCGAACAAGGTTTTTGTAAAATGTTTAAAGAAAATTGTGCCCAATTTGTAATTACAATTTGTATACTCTTGCAACCAGTTACTACATAATATTATAATTTATAGCAAGATAGATATAGGGTTATATATAAAAATGATCACGATGATGAGAAAAGTTGAAATTCTGTTGGATGTTCGCGCCTCCGTTCGTCCGTTCATGCAAACCAAGTACAAAAAAATATACGAGCTCGAAGATGGGTGTAATCAGACTACCGTCACGCTCCCAAATCGCCATTAACCAAAAACGTATAAAGTGCCATAACTAAGCACAAAATTAAGATATAAATTTGTAATTTGGTGCAGAGGATCGCAGTTGCAAGGGTATCTCGGAAGTGGCTCAAAAGTTTAATGAACATACCTAAACCACTCAAGCTACAACAATAAAACTTGTTAAGTATAAATCTTATAAAAACTTCTACYCCCAGTGTGAAAATAGATGAAATCGGATTATAGATCCGCTCACTCCCCAAATAACGGTACCGTTAAAAAATACTTAAAGCGCTATTTACCAGCGCGATGATATGAGAGAGCTTTAAGAGAGCTGGTGTGAAAATTGGACGATGGGCGTGACACCACCCACTGTTTTGTGAAATCCCATATCTYGGAGCTCGACCGACCGATTTCGACCAAATTTCGTACGTGACATTCTTCTGGCATTCTTAAGTCACATTGTGGAAATGGACGAAATCGGGCAACAATAACGCCTACTTCCCATATAGCGCTATTTTAAATTCCACTTGATTCGTTCAGTTTCCAGAGCACAAATCAAGAAGTAATTAATATAACAGAATAAAACTTTGCACGAATAATGTTTTTAGTGTGTGTCACTTTATGACCAAAAATAGTTTAAATCCAATAAAAACTGTTCAAGCACCTGCTACTCCGGTAGTATATATATGATATAAATAGAATGGTGTGTCAAAAATGGGACCAATCGGACCAATACTTCCCTTAGCCCACGTATACTTAATATAAACATTTTCGAAATTAAAGTAAATAAAATTGAGCTAAAACGTGGCCTATCCCCTATATAACTATTTTCGGGATTTTTGAACATTCAGCTGACTTTACTCTATATGATCGGTTTTACACCTCACAGTATTTTCTTGGCTTTGATGCATGCAAGTTGCAAGAGTATAAGAATAGCCCTTCCTTACTTGTTTTATATACGTTGTACGTTGAGTTCCAAAAACATGTTAAACAAGGAGCATTCCAAAGTAAAGTTTTTGAATCTAGCGCCMCTGGTTGCGCCATGTAGATGTCGACTGGTGCGTTAGAATGTGCTATGTTCATCGATTGTTCAGTAAATATTTTATGACATTTCATAAGTTGCAAGTGAAGTTATTGCGTTTTAAGTGTCAGTATGATTGTGTTATCGGTGCGAAAATGAGCTTTAGAACAAAGAGCCAACATTAATTTTTGTTTTAAAATTGGTAAAACTTTTACCGAAACGTTTCAATTGATGAAACAAGTTTATGGCTACGTTTTAAGAGTGGCCGTGAAGACATAAATGACGATTAACATATGAGCCAATCAAAATCCGTGATCACAAGAAATTCCATCGAAACTGTGCCTGAATTCATCAAACATCAGCCGAAATCATCATTAAAATTCATGAAAATCTCCAAAGCATTGATTTATAGCATTTTGACCGAACATTTGGGCTTCCGCACAAATTGACTGACGACCAAAAATTGCTCAAAATTCAACATTCGAAAGACAACATTAAAGAAGTCAAAAAGGACAAAAACTTCCTACACTATATTGTGACTGGTGACAAAACGTGGTGTTCCCAATATGATCCCGAAACTAAACGCCAGAGTGCTGAGTGGAAGGCACCGGACGACCCGAAACCCAAAAAATTGGACGTGGAGAAGTCAAAAGTGAAGACAATGCTATGTTTTTATAATTCCAAGGGTATTATCCACAAAGAATTTGTTCAAACCGGCCAAAACGTTAATGCGGTATTTTACCTTGGAGTTTTGAAGCGTTTGGTGCGCCGTAATCGACGTGTTCGGCCCGAATATCGCGAAAGTTGGCGTTTGTTGCACGATAATGCGACGCTTGTGAGCGATTATTTGACAAAAAATCAGCTTTTAACTATTAACGTCTTCCCATATTCACCTGATATGGCACCGTGCGACTTCTTCCTTTTTGGAAAAATGAATTTGCCTCCGAAAAGAAAGCGATATGCAGACGTAGATTCCATTTAAAAGGCTTGCACCGGCATACTGGCGGCTATAGCGGCCAACGAGCTAAAACACTCCTTCGACATGCTTTTGGATCATGCAAAAAGCTGTATTGAAGCAGAAGGAGACTATTTTGAATAGAATAAATTGATTTTGCCCGAAAAAACCATTTGTTCTTGTCCTTTACTTTGGAACCCCCCTTGAATATGTATAAATTCCGAAAGTTTTAAAATCTGTAATATTTTTAAGGTCACATGAAGAGTTTTCTATAAGATGAACATTTTAATTTACAATTTTATTTATAAATTGTAATGAATTTTATTTTTATCTGGGTACTCAAGAACACCTGTTCTTACCTTAACTTTGAAAAGCAACAATGTGGAATCCACATATAGGTTAAGTGAGGCAACGTTGAATAGTTTGCTTCCAAGTTCATTCAAAACAACGGCAAGTGATGTAATGAGAATAAACTCCATAGTGACAATGGCAGCCGCTAGCGGTGGAAACAATGTAGTCGAATAGAAGAAGTGCAGAAGCTAAAACGGGTTCGCTAGGCTGGTATTATCGATTAATTTGCCAAAAAGGCAAAACATTTCTCGGCTTTAGTTGGCTGTGTTAGTGCGAATACCCATCAGTGAATAAGAGCTGTATGAATGCGGATGTAGGAAATATACAAACATATATATTGGATTTTATTACTCAACACAGCTCAAATGGTTACATTTATCCTCAAAGAGCACTATATGTAACTGTAGTGTGTACATACATAGTTGTGGTTGTAAAGGTTTTTGACTAACTAACATTTGCTAAGTTGCCATTACGCCATCGCTGAYGGGGTATAATTGAATTTCCAACCTAATTAGTCTAAATATACTGTGATCAAATTAAAAGGTGAATTTTGTTCATTTCATCTACTTTAAAGTAATCTCCTCCCGCTGTAATATGGCCATCAGAGCCTTCTTTGATACAGCTTTTGTATCCTCAATTGAGTCAAAACAGTGCCCTCGGAGTGGTCATGTGAATTTGCTGAATAGCCAGAAGTTACACGAAACTAAATCAAGCGGATGCGGTGGTTGCGCAACGATATTAGTTGAAAATGTGGCGAAATGATCACGATTAACCAATGCATTATGAGATGGTGCATTATCGCACTTCTTAGTGTATAAATTAAAAATTCCTTTCAATTTGATCACAGGCATATTTTAAATTCTATTCAGTTGCAAAAACGTCACGGCGTATTAATGTAAGAAGGAAAAGTTAGTTTTAGATAATACCACAAACAAAGGTGGAAATCACACCGTCCCTGATGATAGAAACAGTCAGAAAGTCGGTATGGTTAGAACTAGATGATGTCAAAATAACGTCGCGAGCTCGCGACAATACAACAGCCTCGAACCGTGTGATAGGGAAAAATTTAGTTGAGGTCCTAAGGATGTATATACAGTCGATGCTCGCAAATTAGAACCCTCAGTAATTAGAATTTCCAGAAATTAGAATCAGAGTTTGCATTACATTAAATATTCTGAAAATAGAATCAATAATTTAGTATTTGTAACTGACTTCTTCTTCTTCTTGATTGGCGTACACACCGCTTACGGGATTATAACCGAGTTAACAACAGCGCGCCAGTCGTTCCTTCTTTTCRCTACGTGGCGCCAATTGGATATTCCAAGCGAAGCCAGGTCCTTCTCCACTTGGTTCTTCCAACGGAGTGGAGGTCTTC